ACATTAAGTAAAAAAACAATTCACTTACATTTTCGGATAAAAATACAATATTTTAATCATATCACGCAATTATGGCATGTTGTTTGATATAGTACGTACTACGTCATACGTGCGTATATCAATATTATCCGGGGTAATATAAATTATTATGATTTTGAGTGATTTGTCGTAAATACCAAGTAAAATGTACTCGTCTGAAACAATAGTTTATTTAAATATATATTATAACTTATAATGTTGTGTTCCGTGAAAGTGTTAAAGAAAATTGTTTTTGTTTTCATAAACTATAATATCGTATAAATGCATTATTATTTATTATATAGTACACTGCGAGTACCGATGTAACGGAACGTTAAGCCTATTGAATTAAAAAGTATACAAAAGATAAATAAACTTTTTAGTTTTAAAAGAAATAAATAAACGGAGAACAATACAGAGTAAGAAATCTTTTGATTGACTTTTATACTTTTCCGTTAAGTTATTGCATTACGATTGTTTTTGTTAGGTATTATAATATTATCCGTGAACGACACACCATTAAGTTTATATTTTTATTTTACATACTAATAAAACAATCAACACAGATATTAAACTTTATTTTATTTTTTCTACAGTAAGTTTCGTTTTAGTATGTATTCTGATCATTGTTATTATAAATTATTTAAATATTCATTGAATAGGAATAAAGATACCTACTTATTACGGTTTTTTTTTTCACTTACAATATCATAATAGTAATTATTTCAGTTGTTATCTTTTGTTGTTTTGAACACCAAACAACCGAACAATCATTTAAATTAGTAGTATAGTACAATCGATATACATATTWTACTTATATCTTTTTCATTTGTTTTTGTAATTTCTGTTTTTGTCTTAACCAAATTCAAAGCGATTAAATTGAATTGTACTGCACAGTTGTTTTCTCTCGAATGATTGTATATTTGGATACACATTTTAAAAGTGTTAGCAAACAAGTTTGTAGACTAAAAAAAATAAATAAATAATAAAAACAATTCGGTCATGCGTCAACAAAATGTTAAATGGCGGAAATTTTAAATATTTTAATGGTAAACACTAAACAGTGCTGTATGTCATGCACTCGTATTTAGGTGTCTACAAACGAATCGTAAAATAATCTAAAATTAAACGCGTAAAGGTTAGAAGTRAAATTAAAAAATAATAATCATAATAATAATAACGGACGATTACACGTCGACGCGCCACAGCAGTCCGTCAGAAATATATTTTTTCGACATTGGCACGCGGCGGGACTTTCAAACCGTCTGCTCCGAATTCGGTTGAGCACGTATTGTGTGGCTTTTGCGAGCAGCACTAAACCTGTCAATATGGTACAGAAATAATAAAAATGGTAAAAAGAAAAACAACACAAACAATAATAACGGCAAATATTTCAGCTCTACGCGCGTTCCAAAATACGTACAAGCCTTTTAATATATATATATATATTATGCTGACGATACGAAATAATAATAATACCTCTTGTACAAATAAGGTATAAATATAAATATAAGATACACACGACACGATGAGCTTTTTACGAGAGTCGAAAACCGTCGATCGTTGTCGCTATTTTCAGAGGAGTCAAATTTATATAATATAATATCAGTTTTCGACGCGACGGTTAGATTTTGACGTAGGAATACGTACTATATACGTATATACTCGTACATAATATAATGACATTGTATAACGTTATACTATATATATATTCTTGATGCGTAACGAGGTCAAATAAAATATCACGAATATCATGGGTACCTATACTATATTATATCTAAGGCAATGACAAAAAAACAAATAATAATAATAATAATAAATAAATTCTCCACAGACAATCGAATGCTCGGAAGACTTGGAGTGTATATGCAAACAGAATGAACCCAACGGAATGCAATTCTGTTGTTATTTCAAATAACATATTGTTGTGATTTAACCATGGATAGAGGACATGGCGCCGGTGTTTTTTTTCGAATTCCCCTGAGACCAATGCGGTAAAACCGGAAAACTTGGTTTTTCGCCAAACGGTTTTATTATTGTTATTGTTAATAATAATAATATAATATGTATACATATAGATGTATATGATGGTGTAATGCGATAGTAAAATATGTTGTTACCATACACAATGTTTCAATGATAAAAGTGTAAATAAAAACTTATATTAATTATAAACTTATTYTCGATTTAAAGTTGAGTTGAACAATTAATTTAAATTAATACGTAATACTCCTAACCTTACTTTATTAGTGTATTATAAACTTTTAAATTACTATTACCAATTTAAAATGAATTAAAAAATTCAACATTATCATTAATACGCGTGCATAACACATTTCATAAAAACAATAATAAAAAGTACTGTTTTATACATATTTCAAATCATTATACTGTGCATCATTATGTAGTGTCAAACGGTTCGGAAGTTATCAAGTGTCACGTGCACACGCGGTCATTAAGTAGTCTGTACCTACACTCAAACGTGAAACGATTTAAAGTCAAYACACGAATAAAAAGCTATATTACGGACGAATTCTACCAAAAAGTTTCGTCGATAGATAAACGAATTACACACGCACGACGCTCCTACTGCAATGACGGTTGAAAAACACTGTATTCGAAAATCATCTTGGTGTTATTATATTTAAAATTGCGGAACAATACCATAGTTGGGTTGGTACTGTATACAGAATGAACATTAACCGGAGTTCATACCCAAAGTAAAAACATTCCATCTTGCATAGTTGTTTATACTTTTTAGGTATCGAAAAATATCGGAAGTTGTATTTTAAGGAAAACAGTCCCTCATCGTCCGGTGTTCTTATACTTCTATTATGATATATTTGAACCGAGAGTCGTTATTATCACTTGTATACGAAGTAGGTAGGTACATAATATATTCTATATAATTATATAAACAATAAACGTAAAATGTGTCTAAAGAATAAAAATTAATTTTCTTCCAAAATTTAAACACTACTTACCTATGACGAGAATAAACTAATGATTATACTTATACAAACGCACTCGGGGGGTTAGGTTAGAAACACTTCCATTCAGGCCAAAACTACGGCACCTACGAATAATTGGTTTCCTTAGCCTACACCTTATATCCAATAGGATTTAATATAATATTACCATACGCTCAGCTATAGCGTACAGAATATGATTTATGAGAACCCATATTATGGTAGTATAATAGTATTCGTTTCTAACCTTGTCTTCTTGCAGGAAACAATGCATTGCTTGGGTGACGTCAGTAGCGTGGATGGCATTGTGGTAAGGGTTCGTGCTATGGTACCCTTCTTCTATGAGACCTGTGAACAAATATTACAGAAATTCTGGTTAGAGGTCTTTGAYAAGCAATGAATTTTTTTTTTGAAGCAATATTTATAATATTTATCATTTGATTATAATATTAATGTAGTATACCTAAGGTATATAAGCAAGCACAGATCCAGAGGGGGAGTACTACGGGAGCATTAGTCTCCCCTTTGAAAATTATAGATATCATGCATTAATTTATTTAATAATAGTTCACACATCTTTAAATTCATAAATTTAAAATACAATTAAAATTGTTAATGTTGTAGTTAATATTATTATTTTATTTAATGTTATCCATAATGTATATATATAATAAGGAAACACACGAACATTGTGTTTGCATTTTTTTCTGAAAAAATATAGCCCCCCTCCCCCCTTTGCCGTTTCAGATTTTATAGAACCATGACTGTAAATTAATATAAGTACCTAATATATTTTAAGAACACTTCACGTGTATTTGTTTTTGATAATTGAGAAAAGGTCAGCAGAATATTTTTATAGTTTTGGAGAAGAGAATAGAGATCCATAATCTACGATTGAATCTCACTTTATTCCTTTTATATTTTAGGGGCTGCTATATAAGACCTGATCATTAATTTCAATTATTTGTATGTACATAATATGAACATTGTACACACAATAATATGACATTAAAAAAAAAACTTTTATTTAAAATGTACAGACGCCGTGATTATAATTTTTAGAACTTCTATACAATTATTATTTATACATAGTTTGATGTCTAGGGAGGGGTCATGGCCCCTATGCACCCCCTAAACGCCGCGCCTGGTTTAAAYACAAGTCTACACCTACTCATTTAAGAGACCATCCAACGGGTCTTAATATTAAAACTTTGAGAATTGTTTCCTCAGATAACACCTTCACGCTTACTGTATGTAATATACTTAACAAGAAAAGTTTAAATATAATAATAGGATCATTCATAAGTTTTATTGCATTTAAATTACTCGTTCGCGTCACTTACAAAAAAATAACAAATTCATTCTTGCCATTTTCTTTTTTTTTATTGACTTTTCCAGAGCTGTTAAAATATAAATACTATATTTATAACATCTTGAAAAATAACAGCGGTAACATTATTGATTAGAACACGATAATGTTAATTCTTATTCCATTCCGGTAGGAAGGTATCAAAGCAATACAATATTATTATATTCACAGACTGTGAATGCTTTAAAATTAAATATTTGTTTATTAATTTCCCTTAGGTATCTATTTTATTATTGGTGATGTTATAATGTTAAATTCTTTGACACTTTAAATGTWTTATATGGTTTTTACAAATGTAGATTTACAAATGAAACACAGAATATTATAATAATTATTATTATAACAACAAATTAACTATAAGCAATTTTTAGCATTCTGGGTGTCACATATAATTTTAGAATGACCCCMAGCCGTAGCCTATAAGACATATATTTGTTAAAAATTATTTGTGATATCTATTGGAAAAATGTATAGTTAGGGGACTCAAGATTTGGGCTTACACACGGGCCTCAAGTAGTCTAGTTACGGCACTGTTCACAGTGTAGAGTAATTATAAATTCAAACAGTATAAACATCACCTACCAAGACGGGTAAACCACTTTAACCTCAGCATATGTTAGTTTTATTGACTTTTAATTTCAAACATTTTATACGTAGTTTAAAGTGATGTTACTTTTACTAGTGATGATATGATCGAAACTTGCGGCCAAAACCGGCTTGGGATTAAATATGATAAACTGCGGAAACCTAAAATAACTAGGAACGGATTACATTAGCATAATAATAAGGCATCATCGCAGAATCGGCAGCGTAGCGGATAATAATATACAAGGAATAACGACAAACGTTAACACTAAATAAACTATACGCGTGTGGCGTGTCATTATAATGGGAGTACGCGCGCCGAATGGGATATGAAGTTTTTCACGGTTATAATATATAGCACGCAGCGTATGAGAACTTTTGTAAACCCGAACACTTACGATGATTATGCCAATTAAGACGAACCGCTTACAAGTGAAAATAAATAAATAAAGTTCGGTTTTAACTTTGGAGGGGACTTTAATGGCAATTTTAAGCTAATCTCTTACAAGGCATTAGGTTATTAGATATAATATGTTACGTAATATATGTGGTACATTTTTATGAGTGTCGAAAATGAACGCTTCAATAATAAACTAAGGTTGATTTAAATGACTAAAAATAACAATAATTTACATGACAATATCGTTCATAAACATTACACACCTAACACACGTTACATATTGTATGAATGGATTGTAATTTATTTTTATCTAAACAAAAACTTATTAGTTATTAGTTTGAATGCTTCAACAGGGCGACAACGAAAATAATTTTCGTGATATTATGTACAAACAAATAAATGTTCTATTCTCAAAATGACTTAAATTAAGAACTGTAGTAAARGTATAGGTAGTTAATTGTCTATGATTTAAAAATAACGTGTTGGTTAAATATATAAGTAACGATATATTAATAATGACTTATAATTTTTTATTTTTCCAAATATCTATCTATATATAAGTACATATAATACATATATACATTACTCTTAAATGTTTTCAAATAGAATATTTGTAAAAAAAAGTGAGTGCACATACTACATAAAAAATATAATTACCGATAGAAAACATTTAAGAAACACTGTGTGAGGTTTATATAAACTGTAATGTAACGTACTACGTAAACAGGCATACTCTGGTAAATATGGTGAATTAGCAGTTCCAAAAAAAATATACAATTAAATTGTATTAAAAATTAAAATGTATATTATATCATTTAAAATTGTATGAATCAGTTGCTGACTATAATTATAATTTATTTCAAAATAATTATATTAAGGTACCCAAACACTGCTGCGGTAGTGGTAAAATTAGTATGGACACAATTTACRGCCAACGGTGCAGCGTGTGGGACCTTAAATTTTATAAATTTGTATTAAATTATATTTTGTGATTATTAACTTATTTTTTTAATTTAGTAAAAAATGTTAATGTTTATTATTCGAAATATTAATAATAATGTGTAGTGCTTTTAAACCACCAAGTGTCAGGATTTTAAAATATCACTTGGTCACAACTCACAGGTGTACCGGATCCAAAACAGAAATTTAATAAGTGTGCACTAGACGAATATTTTGCTCTGTTTGAGTGCATTGTTATAAAATCCCTTCGCTGCCGAATAGAATATATTTTAGGGTTATTACGACAATTTCCATGATTTCATTAGTAATTATTTCATTAACCATAATATATAATAATTATTTTAACATTGATATTAAAACCTAAAAGGTGTGCTAAAACCAAATACGTGTATATAATTTTCATTTGAAAATATTCCTGGTAATGTCAAAATATCATTACAGATATTGATGAAATTATATAGTATATGCACTATATACGTCATAATAGAATCCTTATAAAAACGGTATGGTATGAATCTTATTATTCCTTCGCAACAAAATCATATGTAAATTGGAGTTAAATCTATAAATGGGGCCTTTATTTGAAACTCATTTAATTGAAAAAACAAACTATATTTTAAAAGGTACCTTCCCGATATACAATTTAATTTGAAGTGGAACATGCGTAATAATTCTACCTACAGCTAGATTAATCATAAAAGAACAAACAATTTTCACAATATATTTGACGCAGATACACGCGTACGTATTCATAAAATATTTGCAATCAATAAATAAGTAATATCAATAGTTATATAGCAATATCTATATAATGAATAATGATGAGGGGAATTTAAAATACGATTATAAAACAAAAAGACATAAATATGGCGTTCCCCGGGGTCTTATATTTTTCATCCACTTTTGGATATATTTTTTTTTCAATCCAAAGAAAGTTCTTTTCAATAACGTCAAAAGAAAGGTAAGCTTATTTCTTTGAATTGACTTTCAACTGATGTTATGTGCAAATATAATATAGACGGTYTCGTGTATGGCGTATCCAATGTACGATTTTCTAAATATTATACCTAAGTAAAATACAGCGAGCGCGAGGTCACTTGAAGAGGTTAGTAATATTTTTGCCTAATATTAAACGTAACGGACTAAGGAAATTGTTATGGTATACGGCTTGATTGAACTATTGAACTTATGTAAACAGATTTGATAAAAAGAGAAATTTATCATGAATACATCAATGTTATTTTAATGGGGAATAATATTATTRTCACCAACATTGATTGCAGTTCTTTGAAGTCATAAAATAAACATGCCCAAGACTTTTTTTATTATGTATTCGTCAATTTTTAAGAACACCGACAGCACATTATAATAAATACCATTCAATATATTTTAATAGGAATAATGTGATAAATTTCAATGACGGAAAACACCGTGAAACAAAATGCAGACGACGTAATTTTCAGGTTATAAATATTCAACAGAAGCACTTACATTTAGCGTACGAATCATAAAAAGGTTGTGTATAGGTATGTCATCATGATATCGATAAAAATAGGCATYGATAACTCACCAATTCAACACAAATGGCTGTTAGTAGATAATTGAAATAAAATGACTTTTTTACCGACCGAAAACAAATAAAATATTGTTTTTAGTTTTTAGTTACATGTTATACATATCTACATCRTCGTAACTATATTAAAACAAATAGTATGGTGCGAAAATAATACAAATTAGAAAGAGTTGGCAAGGCGCTACACATAATTTTTTCAAACAAATATAGTCATAGAATGTATATATATTATATTTGTATTAACAAAACAGTAAATATTATTAATGTGCATTTCATATTTCTAAAATATAATGGTCTGTTGGAGGTAAGAGAAAATTTGTATATTATYGCGATTGCTGCATAATTCATAGATACTAAATCACTTTCTGCGAGCGAAGGTTAATTTTGTAGTACATGTAATTCCGAAGCAAGTACGAAATGTTGTTGGGAATATTTTAATGTAATCGGCATCACCGATAACTACACCACATGTTTATTTTATATTTCAAAATTTCTCGTTTTAGACAAAAAAGCATAAAGGTGATGTCTCAGGTCGATTGCCATTATGTTCAATATGTGGCGGAGTGGGATAAAATTATATGTACCTAATTATAATGTTTTGCCGAACTTAGGAAGCAGAACTTCAATAAATTATACATTGATTAGCAGTAARATTATGTTACGATTTCGTACGAATAATAATATAATATGCTCGGCTGGAATTGTAACGAATATCAAACATATCACGTGACCATATGTAAAAATTCATAATATGTATATGAGGCTTTTTTATAGTCAAACTTAGTAAATATGGTTTCACTGCTTAATTTATCGATATCAATATCATATGAATTTTTACATATGGTCACGTGATATGTTTGATATTCGTTATGAAGATAAAAATTACAGATCAGTGATTATTTTTTTGATTTCCAAACTAACTTCCGTCATGGCAAAACAAATTATATGTGTTCGACTCTTTTCGGTTACAATCTGTAACCGTTTATAAATTCAATCGTTATAAATTCTTCACTCTACCTAGAAACTTTAAAAATCAATACATTTCATGGGAAATTATTCAGTTATTTTAAAATCATATGTACATTGCACACTATTTTTATTAACTGTATAAATATAGGTACGTATACATTATAAAAAATATAATGAAATCACATGAGCAACTAAATCAAGTTAATTAAATTTATTAAAAGTCTTTATATCCCATATTTACGTATAATAAAAACCATGACGGTTTTAAAAAATTTTAATAAGTTTAATTAACTTAATTTAGCTGCACAATGTACACTATATGATTCTATAATATTATTTTATAACGTGAATCAAACATTTATACTTTTTATATATACAATATACATTTGAATTAAAATTCTAAAAACAAAAAAGTTAAAGTATTTTTAATTTGTGGAAATTGAATTTATTTATAATTATACAATATTACTGAATAAGAATTTAATAAATGTATTATTCATCAATTGGACCTTTTAAACATAAATAGTTCAATATTTATATATTTAATATACACTAAGGGTAATTATTAATATCTGTAATCACTCTGAATCAAAATCCTAATCTACAAGCAACAAATATACATCTTTAGTTGAGACTGCTTGAGAGATGATAAATTAGTTATATTATACTTATAATAATAAAGCTTGTCAAAATTATCTCAACATGCCATCGTTCAAAATCATTAAACGATCTTCACTTAATCATACATAATTGATGTTTCGCTGTAATCTTAAATCAGTACTCACCAACCTCATTGTCTCATGAGAAATTTAGCTAAGAGRTATTTTAAAAATGTTAGATAGGTAACATCTATTAAACATAAGTTATAACTATTAAATTTTGTGAAGTGGCATTAATACAAACAACTACAAATCAAAATCATAATATGCTTAATTAGATATTAGTATTTCGAATGTTCTTACATTATAATATTATAGTGGCATCTACTTGAAATAATAKAATACAACTATTTAGTTAATCTCAAACTCTAAAACTAAAATGAGATTTCACGACAGTCTTTAAACAAGATTTCAAAGTAATATTTATAACGGGATAATGAATTTTATACTTACTAAAAAGTTTCCAAACTTGGACCACGTCCAACTTGAAATGTTCCATTAGACCGTACCAATGGAAAAGATGAACACAAAGTACTGGAAGCGATCTTCCTACAAACGTGAACAAAATATACGGTTAAATAAAAAAACACTAATTGATATTTTTTATTATAAAATAGAGGTACTCTTGATAATTCTAAAACTTAAGGGTACGACAAATACGTAAATCAATACTTATATCGTGTATCTGACAACGCCTATATACATAAACATATATGTATAAAATGGAATTTACAAATATAGTTGAATTTAAAAAAAAAATATGGTTTATATAAAGAGCGTTTATTGTTATGACTTATGAGTTTTATATTATTGAGGATTGATGAAAAAGTTAAAAACCAAAATGCAAGGTCAATAATGTCCATCAAATAAACATTTTAGAAAAAAAAACACTAGGCAAATATTAGGCCAATATAGCTATACAATAACACAAAGAGTATTTTCAAAGTACTTAGAGAAATTACTCAAGCACAATTGTGCAAAATTTAAATTTAGGTATTATAGTAGACATCTCCTGTTTGATAACGAGAATTAAGGCAATACTGAATATTTTGGGGATAACTTTTACTTTAAACTTTTTTCCACACATATAACATCAATTAAATTGGTTTTAATTGACCCCTTTTTCGATTTTGAATTTGAATTTGATTTTTTTTTTTTAAACCATATTAATTTTTATAATTCAAAATAATGAAATTCACGGAGGTTCGATAAACAAAATTGTAAATACAAATAGTAATAAAAAAAATTAATTTTTATTTATACCTATAATTTATTTTAATATATTTTATATTTTATCGCATACCDAAGTTCCATGTGATTTCGTATGATTGGTCTTGTAAGCGCTTAATTTTTAAGATAAAATCTTAAACCAAAAAGGGGGGCTTACTGAAAAAACTTTGTTTAACAGTGAATATGTATATGTGTATGGGAAAAAATATCAAAAATTTGAATTTCTTTAAAAACGAGCGTAATAATAAATAATAATCAGTATTTTCTGCAAAGAAAATCCAAATCAAATTAAAGGTTATCCACCTAAAATATTTAATGATACTTTAAATCGGTTATTTAAAACTGTACACAATTGGTTGGTTTTTTAACGGATGCACTAAATTATATYTTATACGTCTAATACATTTAACAATTTAATTTATCTCGAGAAAGTATTGTGCAATATGTGTTTACACAAAAACAAAAACAAAACAAAACAATTAATTTAGTTAAAAAAAAAAAGAATGACAGCAATACGTTTGACATAATTATATAACTAAAAAATATTGTTACTACACATACCAATACCATATTTTTTAGTTTAAACAGTTGTCGCGTAGAAAACATCGAAAACGTTAAGTAGGTATAGGTATACATAGTTTAATTATTGCAGAATGTTCGGGTGAGTACAATGCGTATGCCGGCGTTAAACGTGTGAAAAGCCAACTGGATTGCTGTTATCCCCGAAGGGATTGTTCCAGAACAATCTCCAAATGTTTACCGTCTAACTTTACGACGAAAAATTGGTATATATATAGCGGATTGCGGGATGGTTTCGGAATGAGTCATGTTTTGGACGCTGAAACTCTACGCGACTCTACCAAACACAATACTATATTATAATATACAAACATTACAACCATAATGTGCATATTGTCACGTTAAAAAAACGTGTAATATGGCGGTATAATTTAATTCCGTAAGTACTATTGGAATCGTTGTGTAAAATAGGCAATTTGGTATGATCAGAATAATTTAAGTTATCACTGTGGGATGTGTAGGGGGAAAACTTTATTTACTGACACTCGATATCCACAACATATACAATTATTATACATATAGGAAATCAATTTATTCACTGATAATATTTTATTTGCTGATGGACTTACAGATGTTTGGCTGGACGCTTATGTATAGTTATGTAAAGTTCACAAGCATGAAAATAAAAAGATATTTCGAGGAGATGGGCATTATTGAATTTTATTTCATTTTCAAAACACCATAAAAAATAYAATGGWAATATTAAAATGCACATTCCATAATTATTTCAAAACAATGTAAGTGAAAAATCGTTTTAACGGGAAAATATWAAAAAAAAAACAGTATTTTCTACTTACCCCCTGTAGCTGTGTCTAATGCAAAAGCGTTGAACGGCCATTTCCAGACGTGCTTGAGCACACACTGTGAATAAAATAAAATAACATAAATGTCAGTTAATAGTATATAAAAATTACACAACACGTACATTATATATAATGTGTCATTTATGATTTATATTTCTAACAYAAATACGTATATAGTGTATATCGTATATGTATAAAAATAGTATGCATATTAGTGTAGAAAAATATTAAAATATCAGTGAAGCTCTATAAATTTAATAATATTATAATTTATGTAATGTATTTAAGAATTTAAGAGCGTAGATATTTCACGAGTGATGTTTATTAAAAATAGAACAAAYTGAAAATACTTAAGAGTCTCAAAAATAATAAAGTCGAAAACATAGTATGCAATACATTTTATATAAATGTATAAGATTACTGTAATTTTAGGAGGTAACGTAAATTTAATGTTTTTTAACAGTTAACCTTAATAGTTGGTAATAAATATAATGTACAAACATGTAGATGCATACAGTTTTGAGCCATTTTTTTTTTTAACACACAAAGTAATGCATATTATAAAAAACAAAAACGGTTATATAATAATTAATTCAGTCCTAAATGATACAGTTATATAACCTATTTATTCAAATAATACAATATTGAATATATAAGATACACATTTCTTTTTTATAMGGATATCAGGTAGGTACAAAAAAAATTTAAATGCATGTTCGGCTTAAGATACAATCGACATGTGTGACGGCAAATTATGTCAAAATTATTCTTGTACTCGGTGCTAAAGGAGCCTAAGTCAGCCTTGATTAAATGTATTCGCATTATAAAGAGGTGTTCAGGGCCTCAGACTTGGAATTCGAGATTAACGATGAAAATCGAAAATCGAATAGTAATTTTATCGTGGAAATTAGTATTTTTTATTTTTATTTTTTTATATGGTTGTYATTGTCATTTGGTTACTAGGATTGATGAGTAATACGTTAAATCGTGGTATTTATGGCCTCGAATAATCATATCTTAAAACAAATATGGGAGTTAGTATTAGAATGTGTGTTTGTATAGCTTATATTATACCTATTTAAATACTACTCAATTGATTTTGATGAAAATTTCAAATTGTTTTAAAGGATATCAAGAAATTTTAGAGTATAGTTTACTACGTTCGGAAATACACCAAGTACTATAACTATATAATACRTCCACAGGCGAATTTTTTATGAACCACGGTACTGCAGTAAAACCAAAACTGCATATATAAAGCACCATATTTTATATTTGTTTTAAATTTTTTCACAGGCGAAGTCGGATTATACAACTAGCAGTTTATAAATCAAAGTAMGCAAATGACTCCAATTCTCGTGAGCTGAGGTACACTATATCAGAGAAACACTTTAATATATAGGATTTTATTTTATGATTGTTCATTTTTTTTCTTGGTAAATTCAAGTATATTAATACATTTTATTATTCATGTATCATAATCAAGCACATTCATAATATCTATTTATATTTTTAATAATATATATATTTGCTATTAAGTATATTTTTTTCAAATACGATATAATGAACTGTAACATTATTATGACTATTTATTTGTTATCTCTTAATCAATATTTTTTGTATACATTGGATATTTAAAGTTTCACAATATTTGATTGTTAAATATTTCAATATTCTTAAACAAACAATATTAAAATACAAATCATCGTTTACTTTTATACCCAAAGATATTCACAAAGCATTTGTAAAACGATTGTTCTTTAAAGCTCATAATAGACCAGGAAAATAAGTAAAAATGGTTATTGGTTCATAAAGGAATTTTCAATTTCAATCCAGGAATCTCTGAACAGTGTCTATAAATCTCATTTGTCCCACTAATTTTTATTTTTTAACCGTTCTAAAGAAAAGAAACTTAGAAATTGTATCGATCCTTTTGTCTAGTGTGTTACTGAGGGGTGAACTACTCAAAGAAGCTTATAATATCTAAGCTCGTTCAAAGGTCTACTTCAATCGCGTCTTAAATTCAAACAATTCATTATAATTGAAAAACATAAAAGTTGGATGAAAGGAAATTTTTAATGAATGAAATACTAAAGAAATAATTTAAGTTTCTACCACGAAGACATCACAAGAAAGTCAGCAACAACTGGGTACGTTTATTTATACCTAATGAATTGTATCCTTATATTATTTTCCATTGTTAAAATATGTCTTCTACATGCGATACCATTAATACCCGAGGTCTACCATGAACAAACATAAATAATATGATAATATGATAACTGTTTTCATTTGAGCACATTTTCTACAATCGATTAATATTTAACTTAAATATAAAATATATTATTATATTACAGTATAAAATATAAATCAATAAATATATATATATATATGTGTATATTTTAATTCATGTTTATAAATAATAATAATAATATATATATATATATATTCATAATAATAAATAACAATAAATACATATAATACACTGTATTGAGTTATACATGCCAATATGTTTGAGAAATGAAATAATTCTATAGCTGATGTCGTCAATGGGGCACAGAGCCTAGAAGAGGCTGTCTGGAGTTCCTAGGCTACTTCTGGTTTCCACTGGTTTTGACAGTATACAATGAGGTATTTAATTATAAGTGGTTCTCCACAAGTTTGGCATAGTGTTGGTTTTTCTCTTTGTATGAGATGTCCATAGGATATTTACTGTAACCTATCCGTAATCTGTTTAAAATTACTTCATCTTTACGATTGAATAAATTGGGTTTAGTCCTACTGGACTAGGCTACTAAAATACTACCACATACTTGTGGTAGTATTTTTTATCTCTCTTAATTTATTATTTAGTGTCCGCTGCCGTTCAGATTCCTACAAATTGGTACAATAAGTATTAACATTCTTGTGGATGTCAATACATGAGGAATGGGCACGTATTTCCGTGATAGGGTTATTTACTGATTCACGAGCTACTTTTTCAGCATTGTCATTGCCATCTATTTCGAAATGACCTAGTGCATATATAAATCGTATGCTCTCGTTAGCTTTTGCAATGGTGTTACTTATTTTAATAGCAAGTGTGGTCGAGTGTGAGTTGAATTTAAGGTTATTTAGGGCACTGAGTGAATCTGAACATATGTTGATATTAATATCATGCAGTTGAGCAGCTACGTAAACTYCTACAAAAGGTGCAATATGTTCCGCTGTTTAGATACTATTTTGGTCTGATAGTTTGTAATATATGGATATGATAGAAATCACCATACCTGGGTTGGTTWAAGAAGCGTCTGTATAGATTAGAGGGTTTGCCGTGGAAGAGTCCAATAAATAATTATTATTCAAGTATTAAAATATAATATACAGTCAGTATTTCATTTACTTGATGATGAAGGTTCGAGTAGGTAGTATATTATTTTAATGCTTGTGTTATCAAGAATATTTTATAAAGTTTACTAGTTAGTTAAGGTTAGSTTAGGAACATACATTCAAAACATAATAATGAAAGATTATAATATTTCAAAGATAGTGTTGATAACTATTGGTTAGACAGAACTCTTTTCATAAATATACTTGTGGATGATTGATGACAAGACATAATAAAATATTAAAAATGTGTGCTTTTACTAAACTAACGTTTATCTCAGTGGTAATTATAATATAATGTATTGGAATTGATTTCATCAGAATTTTGCAACATTCAAATATGCTAATAATAATATAGTACATACATAAATAGCACAATAAGTAATGTTATTTGTATTTCATACTATTTATTCGTTTAGTTTAAAACCGTATTAAGTTAGTACAAAAATGTAATCGTATATAGATTTGTGTATATGATTAGGAAAACGATTTCAGGGGTAAATTAACCAATTAACTAGACAATGGAAATAGCTTTAGAAACAATAATAATAATAATACAAAATACAAATAAATGTAATTTATTAATACAGAAATGTATGGCAGCGCCAGTGAACAGAACAGGAATGCGCGAATAGAAACTAAACGGAAAAATTCAATTACAGCTGATGGTCGAGTGCTTGGAAAGGAGAAAAGTAAAATAATTAAATCGAAAAAGCTATAAGCCTTTATACAGAAACGGCCACGATGAAATGTAAAAGTATGTGATAGGAACTTTATACATCCTTGAAACCCTGCATATAAACCCTTAGGATATTTAAATTATTATAAACAATATAAGCATGCTAACTTTAAAAAAAAAATTGAATTAAATTTGTTTTTTGTTCCTGAGTGTATTAAGTATGTATACMGTGTGTTCAATTTTATAGGTAACAGGAAATATTTCGATCACGTGACCTTGAATTTGTTTCGGTGTTTTTTTTATACCGCGTACAGGACTTATAAATACATCTATTTATGATAAATTCTAATTTTTAATTATTTTTTATCGGCACATGCGATATTTACGAATTAACTAATTTAAATACTTTTGACCGTCATAAAAATGGCAACTTTGATGATATCAACAAAATGTAAACATCAAAGTTGTTCAGAAAAAATAAAGCAGTTTCAATATGGTATCAAAAATAGTGGTTCCTATTTAAGACATTTTTTTTATTGCGCATGCATCGATAAAAATAATTAAAAACTAGAATTTATCATAAATAGATGTTTTTATAAGTCCTACACTCGGTATAAAAATCCCGAATCAAATCAAAGGTCACGCGATCGAAATATTTCCAGTTACCTTTAAATTTGAACACACGGTATAATGTATACATATACTTTATTTACTATATACATCGTTATTAAGCTGATGGGTACTATTTTAGACCGTATCATCCTCACTACCATTACAGCTGCATCATCGATTGAGAGAAYATACAGGATATTATGCTATTTTTGAATATTTATACTTCATAAATATTATTTAAAAAAGTTATATCAATAAGAATAATTTAATATTTTTATTCTATTCAAAAATAAAAATATAATACTTTTATAAAAAAAGAAATGATCACGGATAAATATAAATAATGAAATAATAGGAGTGTAATTAATATTATAGTTATAATATATACGTATTGCGTATAA